AGCAGCAGCAGCAGAAGCAGCGGCAGGAGGAGAATCAATACTCGCAGTAGAGGTGAGAGATTGTAAATAGTTTCACAGCCGCGAGTGGGAGGACAGAGCGCGGGAGGCGAAACATTTCGTGTTTGACACGATGACAAAACTCGTGTTCGCATCGTTTCTCTATTGTTCCTCTTATCGTTATCATCGTAAGGAAGGGGTCCTTGTCATGATAGTACTGCATCTAGTACCCGGTGTAGTTGTAACCATAGCCCATAATATAGAAACTCCCTAGACACCCTCATGTATAGTAGCCCTTCTAGAAATCCTTGTAGGAGATGACCGGCAGGTGCCAGTGATGACCTAGCCAAAGAAGCTTTCTCACGTGCGGGGGCCCAGCAGAGGGTCCGGTGACTCAAGGCGGGTCATCTGCTGCACTGATCTAGTCGGCTTCCACGTCAGCATTCCAGGTGCGCACTCTGTACTAAGACCAAATTCGAGACATGAAGGCCAGGCATCAAACGCTGCCAGTGTTTGACAGAAGTTGCTTGAGCACTGGAGTTCTTCAGCGACAGGTTGGAAGCACTTTGGCGAAGGGGCGTGCAGGCAACACTGGCAACAGCAACAACAACAACCGCAACTTTCCTGTTTTAGTTTTGAGGGCCTTGTATGCCCTGACAGATTGCCAGACGCTAGATACTACAAACTATGTAGCAGTATGTGTTACGGTTTTTGCATACCATGATACAAAGCTAGATGTGGCTTTACAGTCAGAGTGTCTGCTCCCTGAGGTTCCTACAGTCATGACGCTGCCTTCGTGGACGATTTCATCCAGCGGCACGGCAGCCAGATGAGCACAGAGCAGGCCGCAAGATATTTTGGGGCCTAAATGAATACGAGCACAATTTTGGGGTTCCTCACCACAGGGAGAGTAGAATATACCCCAAAAACCTATCAAGATTATGCCCCTGTATTGCCTCCTTTTAGGCAAGGGCGCCAGGCTGTGAGCCTACAGAGGGCAACGTGAGCCAAAAAGCCTGGGCTCCATGTTTAGGGTTTAGGGTTTAGGGTTTAGGGTTTAGGATTTAGGGTTTAAGGTTTAGGGTTTAGGGTTTAAGGTTTAGGGTTTAGGGTTTAGGGTTTAGGGTTTCCCGAAGCTTCAGGGTTCAGGGTTTCTCCTAGGGTTGAGGGTTTAGGGTTGCGGGTTTAGGGCTTAGGGTTGAGGGTTGAGGGTTTAGGGTTTAGGGTTGAGGGTTTAGGCTTCGAAGCCTTCCAGAAATTGGACCAGAGCTGCGGGCAACTGTGAGATGTTGTACTCCCTCTTGATTCATTGGTGCGCTTCCGCTCTATGGGAGTTTCCGAAAATAACGGGCACCTTTTTTGGGGGGTCCTTACAATAAGGATCCTACTGTTTAGGATGCTATAGTGGGGTCCCCTATTTTCGGAAACCCGCATATCATTTAGGAGCCACGTTGGACATGTCGTTCGCACATAGATAAGTGCATGCAACAGCCAAACAAGTCAGGTGCGCATGCATGTTCAAAGTTTCGCCAATGCGCCGTAGCACAGTGCCCTTGCGGTTTTCTTCGGGGGAGTGGGTGGTCGGAGAGGGGGGTGGCTGACCAAATCCTAAACCCCAAACACCAAGCTCCACATCTGAATTCGACCCTTGCCCTTCGGGAGTTTCAGAACACATGGGCCCCTCAATGGATGAAGACCTCCAAAAAAGAGGAACAGCACCGTACTAGACTAGTCAGAATCACACTCATAGCGGTCATAAGCACAACCATGACCAGTATAAGGTAGTTCCAACTTTCAGAACCCTAAACCCTAAACCCTAAACCCTCAAGAACATCCACTACCCGACTTTTAATCCTGCGGTTGCCGGCAGGGTGCTGGTGCGGAAAAGGAGGAGCTTGTCGAAAGTCCGATAGGCTCCGGCAGACCAGCGTGCCTTGGTTTCGACAGAGGGTCCGGATTATAGGGTTTAGAGCTTAGGGTTTAGAGTGCCATCAGATGGAGACAGTTTAGGGTCTGGGGTTTAATCAGTGTCATTGTATATGTATGTCTGCATGGCTGCCTGCCTGCCTGTCCGTCTGTCTGTCTTTCTGTCTTTCTGT